AACATTATGTTTTGATACTTCATTTATTTCCATCAAATTCAAAGGGTACATACCTTTCTAACAAGTGTGCTTTTTTAATAATTTTTTTATTATTTTTGTGTGTGTGTGTACCATCAAATCAGATGGCTGGTACAGGAGGAGATTGTCCCTCCTTCTCCAGCAGAGCATCTGGTGGATTCTAACCATATACCTCTGGGATTGCAGTGCAGCTTCTTGCCACTATGCCACCGGAGCTCGCCACAAGTGTGCTTTTTAAAAGATTACCTTTCTAAATCTTTTTCTATAATTACTATCGTCATTTTGTTTCAGTTTCAATAGTAATGGGAATTCCCACTGTGAAGAGAGAAGTTAAGTCTTACCTCATAGAAACTCTTCATTCCCTTATTGACAATCTATATCCTGAAGAGAAGTTGGACTGTGTTATAGTAGTCTTCATAGGAGAGGTAATTATTTATCATTTTATATCATGTGTAGCTTATAAATATTGAAACGATAATTGAATATGTTTTTATAACTTTTTAAATATCATGAGTAATGGTTGAATAATTGATAGTTTAAGTTAAACTTGTTAATACCTGTAATTTTTGCTTGCAGTTATCATATAAAAATAAGAATATTTGTTTTTACTAAAATAATATTATAAACAGATTTATTTTAAGGAATATTTATAGGTATAGGATGCACATTTGGAGATTTATATTGTTCTTTATTGGGAGTCTTGAAATCTGAAAAAGGTTTAGTTTAGGGCTTTATCATATTTTTCTTCTCACCATTTCTTTGTATAGTCCCAAGATTCAACCACATTTATTATTAAAAGAACCAAAAAAAATATCATGTTGTTGTTAGGTGCCATCACGTCGACTATTCACCTTCCTTAATAGGAAAGTAACAAGATGCAGAGTGCCTAAAACGATTTTAGAAATTTACACTATAATGAAAATGTATCCATTATTTCACCACTTAAATATTCCTATTATTTATAGTTTGAAGTATATCCGATAGAAGTTTTCCTGTCTCGTGTATGTATGTGGCAAGCCCCAAGTGACAGTACTTATAGATGCTATGGGCAAAACCCTGAATGGTCCAGAATAGAAGGAATACACAGAAGCACTGTACCAAAAAGAAATAGGCTGGTATTGAAATACTTCAGGAAGTACTATATTATCAGGAGCCAGAAGTAATGAAGGAAGAAGTTCAAGCTACATTGACAGAAAACTTCCAGAAATACAAGCTGGGTTTAGAAGAGGCGCTGGTACTAGAGACATCATAGCCAACATCAGATAGATCTTGGCTGAAAGCAGAGAGTACCAGAGGAGTGTCTGTGTTTCATTGACTATGTAAAGGCATGTGGATCACAACAAATTGTAGCTAACCTTGAGAAGAATGAGAATCCCAGAACACTGGATTGTGCTCATGTAAAAGCTATACGTGGACCAGGAAATGGTCATCAGAATAGAGCAAGGAAACACTGCATGGTTCAAAATCAGGTAAAGCATGTATCTAAGATGCATCCTGTCTCCATACCTTTTTAATCTGTATGTGGAACAGATCAGTTGGGAGGCTTCATTTTATGAGAAAGATTGTGACATCATAATTGGAGGAAGACTCATTAATAACCTGCATGATGCAAATGACACAACCTAGCTTGCTGAGACTGAGGAAAACCTGGACCACTTGCTGCAGAAGGTCAAAGACTTCAGTCTCCAATATGAATTGAACCTCAACATTAAGAAACAGAATATCACCACTAGGCCAATTGGCAGTGCCATGATAGATGAAGAGATTAAGATTGTTAACAATTTCAACTTGCTTGGTTCCACAATTAATGCTCTTGGCACTAACAATCAGGAAATCCAAAGACAAATTGTGTTCGGAATATCTGCTGTCAGGGTCCTCTCTAGAGTACTGAAGAGCAACAGTGTCAGACTGGAGAGTAAGGTACATCTGATCCAAGCCATGGTCTTCACGATTACTTGAAGCTCCATCTCACATACTTTAGACATGTTGCCCAAAGGGACCGGTCCTTAGAGAAGGACATGATTCTTGGAAGGGTGGAGGGATGGCAAGGTGGATAGAGGAGAGTTCAGAGCTATTGTGAGTAGGGTTGCTCTCAGTCACAGTTACTCAACAGCATGTAACAACCACCACCACTAAGCAAGAGCAAATATATATTCTTCTCCAGTGCACTTGAACCCTTCTTGAGAATAGACCATATTTTAGGTTACAAAACAAGCCTCAATAAAAATATCAAAATGCTACAAAGCATCTTCTTAGATCACAATGCTATAAAATTAGAAATCAGCAAGAGGAAGATTGGGGGGTGGGGAAATACATGGAAAGTAAATAACATCCTGCTTGAACACTATTGAGTGTTTATTGTTTTCTTGTGCCAAGGAGTCAGAACTGACTTGTACTTAGCTCCTCCAGTGGATTTTCAGAGGTTTTAAATCTCATGAGAAAGATATGTTATTTTTCTTCCTTAGAGCATCTACTGGATTCAAACCACATACCTTTGGGTTGGCAGCAAAAGTCCTTACCACTAAGCCACCACAGCACCTCTACGGGGCAAAGATATGTAAAAGTGCATAATGTATACAAATTTTGTATGCATACCAATATAAAATAAATAGTAAAAAGGAGAAATAATAAATTTAAAGTAATAAAATTATAGAAAATATATAAGATAATTCTTAAATAATTACATTTTTAAAAGAAATTGTTTGTTGAAACACATGAGAGTGAATGAGAATTGGTACCACTGAGTTGTAACTGACACATAGCTGACCCTTTAGCAGTCAGCGAGCCAGAAAATCAAGAGTAGATTGTCTTTCTCCCCTGGTGAATTCAAATTGTGCTCCTTTGGATTGGCAGTACAGCTTCTTACCGCTAGGCCACCAGAGCTTCCCATTCAGTGCTATAGAGTAGTGTAATACCAGGGAACTTTGACAGCATGGTGGTAAGGAATTGCACTCCCAATCCAAAGATATGTACTTTGAATCTGTAGGAAAAAGTTTAGCAAGCTCATCCCATGCAATGAGCTACCTATGAAAACCCATAGGAGGGTTCGCTATGAGTTGGTTCTGACTTAGCAGTGTAAAACATAACAGTATGATATAGAAGTGCAGTATAGCAGAACAATAAATAAAAGTAAACAAGGGTGTTTGAAAATGGTATGTAATGCTTTTGAAAATCATTTAACTTATAAATTATAGTCATTTAATGTTAATACTAGAAAGAAAAATATGAAAATATGACTATTGACACATTTTTCCCCCCAGACTGATATTGAGTATGTACATGGTGTTGTGGCCAACCTGGAGAAAGAGTAAGTTCCTCTTAATAATGGAAATCAGAAAAGTATTTTCGTTACTGTTTTCTCTCGACTGTCTGTGAAAAGAAAATTACTTTTTCAAAGTGCATTTTTCTGTGCCATTCAGTATTAATTGGCCCACTTATCTTTGGTCTTTTCCATTGTCATAAAGTAGATGCATATATATCCAGTTATCTAATATTATAAACTGATGGATTTTAATATATAAGCTACAAAAGACTTAAATTGCCATGTGTGTAACATAGCAAATAACAGTCTCTAATGCAGTGATGAATATGTAGAAAGTCTTATGAAAGTAAAAATCAACCTTTTTACCCTCTTATTTACTAAGCAAAATTTTTTGCTCCCGGCACAGTCACGTTGACACTTCATTGTGAAACCTGTTCTTTCATTGAGTACCAGTTCCCCTGTGAGGCACATTCACAATTGTTGTTGTTATTGTTAAGTGCCGTTAAGTTGTAGACGACTCCTAGTGACCCTATGAATGAAAGACCTGAATACTTGTTTAACTTTCATCGTTTCTCCACATCCATAGAGTTTCTGGAGGCAAGGTATTTTGGAAGTGGATGGCACTCCTGCTTCCAAGCTTGTTTTAATTGGGAAGCTCCATCAAACACTGTCCACCATGGGTAACCATTATTGTGTTTGACACATCAGTGTCACAGTGTTTGCATTACAGCAACCACGAGTTACCTCTGTATAGCAAATGGACAGACCAGTATGTAACAGAAAGATCAGGAAGTTTCAGTTAGCAAAATTTCTTAATTTGCCTTAGTAATTATAGTAGTGACATCGTGAAAATTGGTCTTTGTTATGATTTTCGTCTTAGAATTGTGGCTAGTTTTGACCCACACAACTTTATCTTTTACTTCTGAAGGAAAAATTAGTGCTTGCTTAGGCAGCTCATACACTACAATGGAACAAAGCAGAGAAGATTAATATGGCCCCTGTGCAAGGATAACACACAAATCATGCATTTCATATTTTAAAAAGGAAAAACAAGAGAAGCAATAATTGTTTATAACTGTAGACCTAATATTAATACTTTCAAGGAGTTTTTAATGCATCATTTAAGATGACTATTATTTGTTAGATTTTTCTGGAGCGTTGGATTCTTGCCAGCAGCTATTAATAATATGTATAAGCACAGCTTAACATAAACTTTATAAGAAGAAAACTTTATAAGAGAAACCAAGCAGGTTCCCCTTTTCCCTCAATTAGATAGGCAGATCCGTGGAGTTCTGCAGTTGATTCTGTTCACTCATTTTTGGGGGTATAGGTAAGCCAAGTTTAGGAGATGATGGTGGAGGGAAACTACCATTAGCTATGAAATCATTTGTGTTAACATAAGTAGGTATACAAGTATTTTGTGGAGATTTAGAGAATTGAAGAATGGACAAAGCAAATATGAAAGAAATTACATTTGAGTCTGTTAAGATCTATTTAAGACATGGAATAAGGTTTTACAACCTCATCAGTTTTTAAATATTTGGTCAGATAACTCTTTGTTTTAATGTACTATCCCACACATTGTAGAATGTGTAGCAGAATCTCTGATCTCTACTCAGTAGATGCTGGTAGCACTGCTCACAGTTGTGATGACCAGGATGTCTCAAGCAACTCGTAAATGTCCCAAAGGGACAAACTTACTCCCATTTGAGAAGCACTTCTTTAGAAAGATGTATCATCTAAACTCCACTCCTAAAACTTCCCAAAAATTTCAAACCTTAATATTTTGCCTGGATATATTTATTTCATTACACACACACACACACACACATCTAAACTCCACTCCTAAAACTTCCCAAAAATTTCAAACCTTAATATTTTGCCTGGATATATTTATTTCATTACACACACACACACACACACACACACACACTCATTCATTTGTTTTTCTTCAATCTTTCATTTTCTGTTAGACTTTGAGTCGTTTGTTTTAAATTCTGAGACTTTCTAGGAATGTAAATGCCTGCAATTAGCCAAGAATTTCTGTGGTACTCTGAAAGAATAGTGGCATTTTCGAGTGTATTTTAAGTGTTATTTAAAAACCAAACAAAAGAACTCTTCTATCAGAATAACCTGTATTTTATGGTAAATAAATTTAACACATTAAGTAGCATATCTTGCTACAAATTATATGCTTTATGTTAAATTCTGTAAATTGAGCATTAAGATAAAGAAAAGCCCATGGAATTTACCTAACTTAATTAATCTTTCTCGTGATAGGTTTTCTAAAGAAATCAGTTCTGGCCTAGTAGAAGTAATATCTCCTCCTGAAAGCTATTATCCTGACTTGACAAACTTAAAGGAGACATTTGGGGACTCAAAAGAAAGAGTAAGGTGAGCCATATGTTATTTAAATCCTCCACCCGTGTAAATATATTTCTCCCCAACACCACAATTCAAAGACATCAGTTCTTTGATTGACTTTATTTATTGTCCAACTGTCACATACACATATGAGGTGATTGAAAATACCTTGGCACATTTAGTCCTCAAAGTGATGCCCTTGTTCTTTGGCATTTTAAAGAAGCCCTTCATAACAGCTTTTGAGGTATATTCTGGAGAAATTTACTTAGTATGATTTAAAGCTTTCAAATTAGTGTGTTTTCCTGAAACTGTCTTTCAAGCCCATTTTCTTGTTCAGCATTAGTCAGTGTGTTTCTGTAGGCTACCAGGAATTCAGTGAAAAGACTTAATGGGATAAATTGTAATAGAATGTATTCCCTTTTTAGCATCCCATAGAGGTTTATTAATTTATGTCTTTGTGCAAAGTCCAGGATTAACCACTAGAGCACTGAGCCCCAAAGGATAATTTTTTTTAAAAGCACTAATTTTATGGTACATTAAGATGTTACTGAAAACAGGGCTTGCCGTCACAGAAGTTATAAAAAGAGCAAGGGCCACATAGAGACAACCATGTCTGAACTTTACCAACTTTACAAAGGGAAACTGTCTTCATCAACAGCATCAGCAACCCAGAACCAATTCCCATGAGTTTAGACATGTCCTGGCATTTGTGTACTCTTTCTACTCATCTAACACCAGTCTTAACTGCTTTGCTGGGTCCAAAGTCCAATGCGATTGCTCACAGACTACACAGAACCATGTTGGGGAAGTCAAGAGGTTATAATCTTGGTTAGAAGCAGAAGATAGTCAAGACAGCTTCAGAGAAGTGCTTGCAGGCACTTCAGCCTTGAGCCTCACAGCTTTAGGCCAGTGTTACAGAGTTCTTAGTCCTGCCAATATTAGCTCTCCCCTTCCCTTCCCCCACCCCCAAGTTGTCCAGTAAACTTGTGCAAAGGCTCGTAGCTTAGCTCTGATTCTGTCCTTTGCAGGCAGCAGCCCCAAGGTCTGCTCTATTTCATGTCAAGTCTAATTCTCCTCTGTGGCTGCTATGGCAGTTTCTCTGGTCCTGAAGGACAAGTTGCATTCTCTTGCTTGCCCTTCTTTCCTGGTAGTGAGGTGCTGCTGGACCTGCTCAATTTAATGGCAAGCCTAGCCAATCCCCTCATGGATTGATGTGACTAGGCAATCCCATTGTGGATAGGCTAACATGCCCTATTCGGATATTCCTGCCCATCCACATGGCAAAGTCAAACTCAGTGTCTAGGAAGGTCATTTTGAATAATAAACTCCACAGAAGTTGAAAAATATTAGATTATATTATTTTTATTAAAGTCTTCACAGTTGGGATGTTTAATTTAGCATATTGATAGTCTCCCAGAGGAGAGAATTTGTATATTATTTCCCACGTATACTTAGTATTACACTCTTTTTTTCCCCTTAAGATATCTTGAAAATTTGTGTTTTAGCTATAGGCTTCAAGAGAGGAAAAAGTGTATTCTCTTTTGTCAATGCTAAGAATATACAGAGCATATATACTTAGGCAATATATAATAGAAATACTTGAGGTTTATACATCTACATTTAATTTAACTAAATTTAAATCTGAATTGTGACTTATTTTTTGAACATTTTAATTTCAGATGGAGAACAAAACAAAATTTAGATTATTGTTTTCTAATGATGTATGCTCAAGAAAAGGGCATCTATTACATTCAGGTAAGTGTGGGATTTCCTTTAGTATTTGCCAGACTTTAAAGAAAAAAAATTATAATAAGAATATATTTGCATTAAAACAAGCTTTTAACAAAAATCTTCTAAGAGCTTGTTGTTGTTGTTAAGTGCGATCGAGTCATAGATGACTCATAGTGACCCTATGAACGAACGACCTAAGCACTGTTCATAGAGTTTCTGCTGGCAAGCAATTACAGAAGTGGATGTCACTCCTGCTTCCAAGCTTATTTTAATCAGAAAGCTCCAAGCACTGTTCACCATAGTTAACCATTATCACATTTGGCACATCAGTGTCACAGTGTTTAGCATCACAGCAACCCGAGTTACCTCTGTACAGTATTGCACAGACCAGTGCTAATACCACTTAGAAGAATGTTTGACAAAAAACAATTTAAAGCAGGCCTGAGGGCCACCAATTAAAATCACCTACCTTGGGCTTGGTAGCATAACTTTCTGTCCACTAGGCCAATGTTGCGCTCTCTGTGTTGTCGTTGTTATTGTAGTTAAGTGCTGTCGAGTCGTAGAAGACTCATAGCGACCCTATGAATGAAAGACTTGCGCACTGTTCATAGAGTTTCCAGAGGCAAGCCATTTTGGAAGTGGATGCCACTCCTGCTTCCAAGCTTGTTTTAATTGGGAGGCTCCACCAAACACTGTCCACTATGGGTAACCATTATCACATTTAGCACATCAGTGTCACAGTGTTTAGCATCACAGCAACCACTAGTTACCTCTGTACAGCAATGCACAGACCATTGCTATACCACTTAGAGAAGAATGTTTGACAAAAAACTATTTAAACCTAATGGGGTTTTAAATAGGAGGGCTTATCTAATTGCTTCACTCCCCTTCTCAAATCAGTATTCCACCCTACTGCTCACCAATCCCAGCCAACAGGTTTCTGTAGAACCCGCTCCTGTAGATGACTTTCAAACTGATTCCAGTGCCATAGTAACAGATGATGTGAGTGTGAGGTTCCATGCTCTAAGTCAGCATCAATTCTAGCTCTGTGCTTTATGATTTTTTTTAACGAGATAAAACTACATTTATATTGAAGATAATAAGAGTTACATTTAGCTCTGCTGGTGTAATTTTCAACAGATGGTCTTAATATCATGTAAGTATAAGAATTATATAAGTAATACTTTTTCTTTTTAGGTAGCTAGACAAGGTCTGACATAAATAATTGTGTTGTTGTTGCTAGGTGCCATGGAGTCAACTACAATTCATAGTGAACCTGTGAACAACAGATCTCAACCTTGCCCTGTCCTGCTTCCCATCTCTAATATACTTGAGCCCATTGTTACAGTCACTGTGTCAGTCCATCTTTTTATAGGTGTTCCTCTTTCTCTGATCCTCTCTGCCTTTCCCAGCATGATGTCCTTGTCCGAGGACTAGCTCCTCCTGACAACATTCCCAACAAATGTGAGAAGTTTCATCACCCTTATGTGTAAGGAGCACCCTGATTGCACTTCCTCCAGGACAGAATTGTTTGTCCTTCTGGCAACCCAAGGGATATTAAGTACTCCAACACCACAACTCAAAGGCATCAATAATTCTCCTATTATGCTTTTTCATCTAACTTTCAGATGCATAGGAAGTCACTGAAAAGACCATGACACATCTTCAACATACCCTTCCCACAGCATACATGTTTGTTTTATGATAATTGTATGCTTGCTTGTTTGGTGATTTCTTCATATGGATACAGCACTTGTCATCAATTTGCTATATTGGGGCAGGGAGTGACTTATATGTTGCTGTTTATTTTATAGTTTATGTATGCATATGGTTGCTGGTATATCATTTGCTACTTTGAGTACAGCACTTGTCTGTCAGTTTGCTGTACTGAGGTGATTTGCAGGTTGCTCTGATGCTGGAAGCTATGCTTTCAGTATATCAGGTACCAGCAGGCACTTATGGTGGACAGGTTTCAACAGAGCTTCCAGATAAAGAAGCAGGATCTGCCATCCAGTTCTGAAATAACAAGTCTTCAAAACCTATGAGTGACAGAGGAACATTGTTAGATACAGTAGTGAAAGTAGAGACTCTCAGATTGGAAGACTCACAGAAATGAGTGGAAACAACTACAAGCATCCATTAACTGAACATGGAATGTATAAAGTATGACTCTAGGAAAATGAGAAGTTGTAAAAAATTAAATGAAACATATAAAGTTTGACACCCTAGGTGTTAGTAAGCTGAGATGGTCTGGTATTGGACACTTTGAATCAGATAATCATGTGATCTGTTGTTCCATAAATGGCAAATTGAAGAATGGTGTTGCATTCCTAAACAAAAACGAACATTTCAAGACCAATTCTGAAGTACAATGCAGTGAGTGATAGGGTACTATCTATGCACATAGAGTGAAGACCTGTTAATATAACTTGTTATTCAAATATATTTACCAACCATGAAAGCCAAGAAAGAAGAATTTTGTACAACCAGTAATTTATTCATTGCAAAAAAAAATTTAAAAAAACAAACCATATAAAGCAACTATACACAAATCATCAAATACTCATGTCAAAATCAACTGAAGTTGAAGAAAATTAAAACAAATCCACAAGAACCAAAAGACCTATCCCACTTTAATTTAAAAAGCATCTCAAGATAAATAATATTAGAAAGCTCTTATTGCTTTCAAATTTCATTTCTGTTAATGACTTATGCTTAAATTCCACAATTGAAATTTCTTTTCTTTAACCAAAGAAAGTCTTTATCCTTTGTCCAAATGCAAATATTCCTGAAATGTATAGCACATCAAGCCTGTCAGTTACTTTATTTTATAATAAAAAGTTTATAAAATCTTTCCTGAAAAGACATTTTGTTGTGTGTGGCAAGAAGTTCAAGAGTTAGGGAAGGAAAACAGGTTATAAAAACCCAAAAATGTAATATCACATGGAAAGGCAGTCATGATGCTGCTAGACTTAGTCTCCTTTAATATTTTATCTAGGGCCAGTTATACACTAACAATAAAAAAAATAAATAAGCAGCTAAACTTGTAGCCTTTAAGTCACTTCCAACTCACGGTGAGTCTGTGTGATTCAGAACAGAACTGTACTTCATAGGGTTCTTAATGGCTGTCTCTGGTGGTCTAGTGGTAAGGAGTTGACAGCCAACCCAAAGGTATGTGGTTCAAAAACCACCATTTGCTCCATAGGAGAAAAATGGACATTCTCCTCCTTGGTGATTTACAGCTTCTGAAAACCTGCAGGAGTGTCATCTGTGAGTCAGCACATGACAGCAACAACAACATATCTTATGGAAGTAGGTTTTCCAGGTATGAGGTGCTGTACAGGCAGTTTTGGCTCATCGTGACCCTGTGAGAATAAAACATAACCAAATACTGCATGGTCTTGCCCCGTCTTCACAGTTGCTGCTCTGCTTGAGCCCATTCTTGCAATCACGGTGTCAGTCCATCTTGGTGATGGTATGCCTCTTTTTTACTGACTTTCTCCTGTACCTACCATGATATTCTTCTCCAGGGACTGACTCTTTTTTACTAGCATGAACAAAGTATGTGAGATGAAGTTTCACCATCCTTACTCCTAAGGAGTATTCTGGCTACACTTTCCCCAGGTCAGATTAGTTTGTTCTTTTGGCTATTCATGGTATAGTGAATATTCCTACCCAATACCTCTATTCAAAGGCATCAGTTCTTCAGTCTTCTTCATTTGATCTGCTTTCACATGCATATGAGGTAATTGAGAATGCTTTAGCTTAGTTAAAGTTAACCATTGTCCTCAAAATGACATCCTTGCTTTTTAGCACTTTAAAAGAGATTTCTGCAGCAGCTTTTATCACTACTATACATTATGGGATTTCTTGATTGCTACTGCATCCATGGGCATTGATTGTATATCCAAAGTAAAATTAAATCCTTGATAATTTTGATCTATTCCCCATTTAGCCATGATACTGTTTATTGTTCCAGTGGTAAGGATTCTTGTTTTCTTTATGTTGAGGTGTAATCCATTCTGAAGGATTTATCAGTCGGTACACACTTCACATTTTATTTTCAGCAAGCAATTTATCACATACATATTAAAGATTGTTAGTGAGTTTTGCTCCTGATACCACATTCTTCTTGATGTAGTCTAGCTCCTCTGATTTTTTGCTCAGCATACAGATTGTGGTGTTAGCCTAGCCCTTTCTGGTCTCCAGCTGCCTTTATTGCAGACGAATGGTCTCGCAAATCATCAGGAGGTGTGGGATTAGGATAAGAGAAAGTCCTTCCCACACTGAGCAGCAATTTTGAGGCGAGCAGCAAGACTCGAGGCAAGCAGCAAGACTTGAGGCAAGCAAGCTTTGTAGTGGCAAGACGAGAGGAAGACTGGAGCAAGTCCCTGGTGAGAGCAAGACCTTGATGTTGGAAAAACTATGGCAAGGTTTAAGCAGAAGAGCTCTGCGATAAAGCCCACAATTAAAGGGTTTTTGCTATTCTTGCTGGATGCTTGAAGGAGAAGCTGCCTTACATCTGCTTGAGACAAACCTTGCTGGATAATTTGGATTTGACTGCTGAATTGAAACCAGAGCCTGGATTAATTAGGGAATTGTGCCTTGGAACTTAAACTAAAATCTGGGCTTGTATTGGGTGATATTCTTTGCTTCCCCTACTCTCCAATTTACTTTCCTAATGAACCCCATTCTCAGTACCATAACTGTGAGTCTATGAGTCAGCAACAAATAAATCTCTTGCTGTCGATGTGGCTGTAGAGGCAATGTGGGGCTGAGCTACAGACTCTATCTGCTTTCTGCCTGGAGACACTGAGAGGCTGTGCTATTCTTACTCTCTCTGACCCTTTCCGAGAGAAGTTCAATGTATTATGCCCCCATGTCCCATTTTCTGCTCTTTAGACAAGATTGAAAAATTATGATTAAAGTTTACAACCCTGACACACCTTTTCTGATTTTAAATCATTCTGTATCCCTTTATTCTGTGTGAGTAACTGCTTTTTAGTCGGTGATCAGGTTTTGCAAAGAGCTCAATTAAGTATTCTGGCATTGCTACAGATGTTTATATATCAGTGTTTAACTGATTTTGCAAAAGCATTTGATTGCAAATTTTAATAACATTGCAGAGAATGGGAATTCTGGACTATTGGATACCAAACTGAAATCCACTTCCATTGTATTGATTGACTCATGGTTATCCTCTATCACATTTCTGAGGCTGTAGGTTTTTATAAGAACAAACTCCTTTGGGTTTTTTTTTT